GACCAGACGTGTGTGTGTGTGTGTGTGTGTAAAAATAAAAGTAAAGGTTTGTTTAAACCACTTAATTAACAATATTTGCCTTGATTATTTTTTTATGGTTAAGTTGTGAACAAAGCATTATCTAACTAAGTAACTTTACATATGAGCTAATTAAACAATAATAATTCTGTTAATTACAGTGATATTGAATGAAGAACTTACTATTTGTATAGAGTCTATTAAGAATGTTTCGTAAATCCAGCCTCTGTCTTCTTCTGAAGACAGACTTTTTCAAAAGCGTCTGTGTCTAATATTCACACACATCAGTTGTCACATTGTCACTGTATAAATCAGTATTTTCACACAATACTGTATAAGTCCCAGCTTTTGTCTGCTCTTGGTTGTGTCTGCAGGCAGGAAAGCTGAAGGGGAATCTTCATAAGATGGTTTTTGTCATAGCTAGCGAGATGTAGGACAACAGAACGGCTGAGTCTGCAGCGGCGGTTTGTGAAGAGCACAATCACCAGCTCAGACCCCGAGGGGATCCAGACACGTCCCGGGACCTCCAGCATCAGCCATCTCTACGGGGCCAACGGCCATCAGACTGTCACAGAAACACTGTAAATAGCTTGATCTGAATGCAAATCAATAAGACAGATCTCTAATATTATTTTGTTTTAAAAGCATCATTCGTTGGCTCTTCTTGTGAATGTTTGTGGTTTTGAGTTTTCTTTGCTGGTGTCCTGTACGTTCTGAGTGAAGCCGCTTTAAGGGGTCGAGCGATCAAAACAGAGCACCAGTTTCATCCTCTTTTACTCATGTTATCCTCATTATTATTAGTAGTAGTAGTAGTACAGAACATTTCCATTTACTGCCATTATGTACTCCTTTTGGAACACATTATTTGTGTTGTGACAAACTAATGCACAAGGAAACATTTCACATTATCAAACGGATCAAATGTCTTAACCATTTCTATGTGTAATTATTATGCAAGACAGATTGATGCTTGGTGATCAAAGTTTTGAAAGTAATTTTTCATCAGCCTATTCATTTGTTTGAAGCTCATTTGATCGGTATAAAACCGGAATAACAAAGCAACTGAAACTCCATTTTCAATATATTTCTGACAATTGAATGCAACCTTTACATATATGGACAGGAAGCAATATCTGGATATTGCGGAATCTTCTGTCTATGTTAATATCTGTTTGAGAAGTGGTCAGCTGTAGTTATCTGAGACTTACTCTGTAGATCTCACACTTGTCTTCTCTGTGAGGAACACTAACAGCTTTAATTCCTAACCCAGCACACTAACATCACTGCATTTACTTACACGTGACCTGTTTTCCAGCCTTAAAACGCGTTCGGCACACACTCAGTGAAGTCTCAGCGGTTCTGTGTTGATGCCACGTTCAGGATTGTTTCTCTGGATGCTGGCAGCTCCTTCAGTAACCTCTAACAGTCGGTGTGCTTCTGTTGTTCTGTACTCATCCTCTGTGTCTGTGTAAGTAGATTCTGGTATACATTTGTCATCCAGTGATAAAACCTGTGCAGATGGAGCTCTCATCATCTTCTGTATATTAGACACAATTACTCGGTGCTTTGATGAATTTCAATTACAAAAGGACTTCTTGTAATTATGTAACATTTTAATGCCGCTTTATAAAGTTTCTAAGAATATGACGTGCCAATCGGGGAATCAGATTGCTGTTCATATGCAAAATTGATTTGACAAAAAGATTAAAAATACCCTGTTAATCATTTCATGGAGTCAGTTATTTGGGGGGAGTAAAATATTTACTCCAGACGATATGTTACACATGGTTATGTGAATTGTTCATCTATACTGTTTGTTTTTATATGGTTAGGTTAGTGAATGCCTTGGGAGACGATGCAAACAGCATTCATTTGGCTTAAAGGGACAGTTCACCCAAAAATGCCAAAAATTCTGTTATTATTTGTTGTTCTAAACCCTAATTTCTATTATGCTGAACACAAAAGCAGATATTTTGAAGAGTGTGTGTTACCAAATAGTTTCTGGACCCCATTGACGTCCATAATATAGGGGGGAAAAAACACTATGGAAGTCAATTGGGACCAAAAACTCTTAATTACCAACATTCTTCAAAATCTCTTCTTTTGTGTCCAGCAGAAGAATGAAACTATGAGGGTGAGTAAATGATGACAATTTTCATTTTTGAACTATCCCTTCCATGTTAATTTTTAAATAGTTTATTGCTAATCATGTTAGCTATTCCATTAAATCATGTTAATGTATAAAGTGTTAGAGGTATTTGTGGCTTTTAGGGTCCCGGAGTCATGTGACCTCTGGCCTTTTGTAAATATCTTAATTAAATGTGAGAACTGACCCTGACCCCAGTGCATTGGATTGCAAGCTTCACAGTCAGTCTTCAAAAGAATCGTGTTGAAATACACACCTCTACATGACCTGACATAACTTATATATAACATAAGTTAACTCATGGACTTTCCAAATTCAATGTTTAATCGTCTTAAACATTGCTGGTGCTGACAGGCATCCTTGTGTGAATGTTTAGTGTTCTGGACTGTGTTTGATACATACCTGCAGTAAAGCCGGTAAAGAGCAGTCCATTCTGAGAGAAGTAGACTGAAAACATGGGGAAGTTTGGATGATTCTAAGGGCCCACACACTTTTGGGGCCCCCAGAGATCTGTTTTATTAGTAGTGACAGTAGTAGTAGTAATATAATAGAAATTATAAATGTATCTACCAAAGAGTTACAAATAAAACAAAAAATTACGGCTTATTCTGCATTTCCGGCTAAATTATCTCCCCCCATTCACTGCATAGTTTCGTCCCGTCCCACGTAGCCTAGAGTCACTGAGTGAGATCAGATGGTCAACTGCCAAATTAGAGATGTCTTCGAGTTGGGGGGGGGGCAAACCGAGCCGGATGATTTGGTCAGTCGCCCTTTTAAACACATTTTAGTTTTGCTATAGAAAATCTAGAAATTCACTCTGATTGCATAGAGCAGCAGCAGGAAGGCGTGAGGTTGTCATGGCAACCAGATACACTGCACGCGAATTACGGCTGCGCTTCTATTTTGCCACACTAAACTTAGCAATAAACACGTTGAAAATAATACACAATAAACATGTCTGTCAAAACTATCTCAAAGGAGGCTTTTATTAAAGGGGTCATATGATGCTGCTAAAAAAGAACATTATTTGGTGGGAGAAATGACAAACAACAAGCGCTACTCTACTGCCCAAAACTCGTGTTTGAATCATCAGTTGAACTGTTCTGGAACAGTGTTGCAATGACACGTCTTCCTCCATTCTTCACTGTGAAGATGCTTTCAGCATTATATTTCTCAGTAGATCTTTGAAGACATTTATGTAGCCTACTAAAACCTGCTGACACACACACTCTACGGCAGAATAGTGGGCCAAGCCAAAAATGGCAAAATATTTAGTGGTCTTTTAATGGTCTTAACCATGTTAATCCTTTAAATGAAAACGTACTTAGACTTTGAGTCAGAACAGCCGGCACTGTAGTCTACTCTCCCAGGATCAGTAAACAGTCCTC